GGTTTTTAGCTTCTGAAGTGTGTGTGTCAAAAAGCTTGGAGAAATACCCTATTTATAGGCATGGGTTGAAGAGTTCTTTTAGGATTAGAACTTCCCTACCAACTATTTCATTAGCAATTTAGGATAAGAATTTTATTTTTATTTGACAAGTAATAAAAATACTTTAATCCTATTGGTAGGAACATTGAAGACTTCTTTTAGGATTAGAACTTCTCTACCAACTATTTCCTTAGTAATTTAGGATAAGAATTTTATTCTTATTTGACAAGTAATAGGAATATTTTAATCCTATTGGTCAACACAATAAATATTTTAATTTAATGAATATTTTTTAAATATATTCTTCTTGAAGAACAAGACTTTTCCTTTAGGTATCTTAAATTGTGATTGGGACACATATCATTTTGTGATTGGTCCATAGACATCATCAAAATGATTTTAATAGATCAAAAATAATATTATTTTTCAAAACCTAAATTAACACATAGCATTTTTTAGTTGGCCAATAATTTTTTCATGTCTACTCCCATATCTTTAAAAAACCATACTTAATAATCAAACATTAATACCTAACATTATTGCACAAACACTGACTTTCGTTAACCATATAGATGACTTAACCTTTAGAATACAGCATATATGAATAACTAGAGTTGAAAGGTAATGATACCATGAACTATGTGTGGAAATGAGGACAGGACAAAGACATGGCATCATAACTCATCATCAATTCATTTTTCCACCATCAAGGAGAGCAAGTAGGATAAAGTCATGATAACCTACTCCACGTGAATTTTGGGAAGGATGTAGACAGAACAACTGAGAATTGTTTGACCTTTATCATTTATGTTAAAGGTCAAACAGTACAATATTAAGGATGGGCCACAACTACTTTTGAATTTTAGGTTTGTATTGTGTGTCATTTTTGCTTGTGTAACTCAACAATTTCTATATTTAAACCACTTAAACAATAGGAATTTTGTTAAGATTTTAGTAGTACTTTGCATTAAAATGTGATCTCTCTTACAATTATTATAGTTGGCTTCCATTCTCTTGTTCTGTTGTACTCCTGGAGAATTTAAATGAAAATTAAATGTCTTTGTCTTGAGTAGACTACAATATTTACTATTTACTATTTTGTGGATTTTAAAAACATAGTTACCAAGGCTTATAATAAATAAGCTACTCCTATATTGTATGAGTAATAAATTTTGTTTCTAATTTTCAACTAAGTTTTAGTTTGATGAAGCCGGTCTCTACATATAGGTATTAATTTTTTATCATTAATATCATAAAAAATATTAAATATATATTTTTTCATTTCATCATTACATTTATTTATCTGTTTTATATTTAATCTTATTTTTTCTTCATAAATTAATGATTTATTTGTTATTAGTCTTTCTCTCCTTATCCTTATTCCATCAATAGTATTCTTGGTTGGTCAATGCTTGTTGTTCTTTGTATTATTATATACCATTGTAACATGTAATTAGCATATTTAGATGATATGTTAAAATAGTATGGCATCAAACAAAGGTATACGTGGAAAACCCATACAACTTTAGCTTGACATGCATGAATTAGCTCGACATTATATACTTATCCCACCTGGCATTATAGAAACCCTATTGTATTATTACATTATCATTTATTTATATATAATCACAAATGTAAACAGGCCAAAACAAATTTTTTTTTTTTTTAAAAAAAACAATATTTAATGGTTAACTTGTTCGATTTCCACTCATCGAGCCATGACTTGGCTTAAACTACATAATGTAATCGTTACATAATCAACAAGTGTATACTCAGTTATATGAACTATAGTAAAAATTCAAATTATGCTTTTTTCTTTTTTTTTTTTTGTAATTCTAACAATTGTTACTTTGTGGTAATTCATGCAGATTAAATGAAAAGAAAAAAAAAAGATAAAAAATTACAAACAACTAGTGGAAGCTAAAATTCAATCAAAACAATTTAACTTTTAAATCAGCTTATACCAAAAAAAAAAAAAAAATTATATACACTACAAATAGGTTTTGGCAATGCGAATTCTAGTTTTTTCCTTACCAAGTAGAGCCTAGATGGCAGCAAAATATACTTAAGCATAACTTCGAAATAAGATATGCGTCAACTACCTCTATGTATTCATGTCGCCTATATATCAATTACTGTGATATGAAATTATATTATCCTTACTTAATTTGGTGGCAACACTGAAAATTGAAAAATAATCCTCATAACAAAATACAAAATAAGTTTTTTGGATAATCCAAATAAACTGACAAATTAAAATTTCATTTTAAAAAGTCAATATTGTATGAAATGTGAAAAAATGAAAGCATTATACTGATGATTTGAATGTCGTAGTTTTTGGGCTTTCCATAAAATATTTAGTTCATGGTAGAGAAAATCTCATACCTATATAAAATTGATCTAAAAGTTATCTTCTCCCTATGTTTTTAGGTTTTGCATGTTTGTAGTCTGTGTAGTTACGGGTGGGCCGAAAAATCAACAACTGAGAAAAACAAATTTAAAAACCGATGAAACCATAGCCAATGGATAAGGTTTGACTGGGTACTGGGTTTGTTTGTTTAAAAATCAAACTGAATCAATTTAAAACAATGTGGGTTTTGCTTGCTAAGTCTATAAACTGAAAACAGAATAACCAGTGTGAGAATAACTGAAAAATTAGGCTCAAAAACCTTTTATATTCATTTTAATGGTTTCCATATTTTTTTAGATTTTCTAGTTATCTCTCACCAATTTTTTTTTTTTTTAGTTTGGTAATTTTTAACTTTTTAGTGAGAAAAATTTTTTAAATAGTAATTAATAAATTGAAAAAATAAAAAAAAATAGAAAAAATGTTTTCTTACAACCAAAACTGATCAAAATGGTTATGTTAAAAAATGCAACTAAAACTGATAAAACTTGATCTATTGAATTTGGTTTGGTTAAATGTTGTAAAAACTTAATAACCAAAACTTCAATTACCTAAATTTTTTATTACAATGGTAACTGAACTCGGCCGTGCCCACCCCTATGTGTAGCAAAGAGATTTTCACTCTTCTTTTTCTTGTTGCATTAATTTTTCTCAACTTTTATTTTATAAGGAGGGATGTGAAGGAGATAATGCATGACGAAAGAGATAAGAAAACCCACACCTGATTGTTGTGCTTTCATTTTCATCCTCAATTGCAATTTTTCTTTTTCCTTCAAACAAGTTTAAAGATGTGCGTATAAACTTTAAAAATGTGAAAATGACAATCAATTGTGGAAACTCATTGATGCATTTGTACTTTATCACATCACATTGAAGTTTAATAAAATTGCATTGATCTAGTACTTAAAATACACTAATATTGATACATTATAGAAATAATGTGTCACACCCAGAAGTAATAGTAGATAGTCAATTAAACATAGCAAAAAAATAAAACCTAGTCAACAATCGTAGCACTCAATCTACTTCAATTGAATAGATTAAGCAAAGAAATTGCTACTGGAATTAGGGTTTTTATTGTAATTGCAACTGTGAAACCCACAATGGAAATAATAAACAACAAAGATAGGAAATGAGTGATTATCTCTACATGTGAGCATCTCTTCTCCATCTTTACCTTCTTCTCCAAAACTCTTACCTTTTTATCCAAAATGCCACTTTGATCCTTCAATTGCACATTTTCTTATAGTAGATTGAGGTTTTCATTCATCAATCTATGAATTTTGTTGCCATTTCCTCTTTTGACCTACAAAAGCACATCCATTTCTTGCTGTAGTTGATCCTTCTCTTTCATTGCTTTAGATTCCCTTTCTTTCAAAATTAGGATGAGTTCCAAGGCACAACCCTCGATCCCTTTCTCACCAGGATGAAATGGAAATAGGGGCAGGATCCTATAATGGAATTTAGTATTATATATCACATATAACCATGCAAAAAACAAAAACAAAAAAAAAA